ATTTTAAGGAAATTCAAGAAACCGTCGAAGTTCCCCTTTTTTACCTTATGGTTGACTTGAAAAAAAGGTAAAGTCTGCAGGCGTTCGACAGCTAAATTTCTAAGAAATTTTTTTCAAAGAGATAGCCAAATACCACTTGTTTTTAAATTGATCTTAGGCATATAGCTTGCTGGCTTTTGTTGTAGACATTTATTTTTGTCAGCAAAGAGTTGTCATTTTTAGGTGAGTCAACGCCTATGACCCAAACGGCCAGCTGCAACAGAAAGAATATTCAACGCCACAGCATATACTATTACAAAGCATCCTCTCTTGAGTATCTAAATTCATCAGCACAAAGGGAGTGAAGATGTCAGCCTTTTATCTGCACCTCCGAGTTATATTAGGTTTGTCAGACCGAGTAAGCCGAGCTTAAAATATGGAGTCTACTGCAGCTTCGGAAGCAGTACGGCCTCTAACAGACTCACCGAGAAGCTTTCTCAGAACAGAGAAGGATAATAAAAATGTCAGGCTGGTAATAGTGTGCTCAACCGTTATACAAATGGTTTAAAAGTAACTCAACAGGGACCCAGTTTTCACCATCAGGCCTAGGTATCGAGGCAGTTGTTGGTGCCTAGTCACACAACAACAGTCGCTTGGCAGACCCAGATAACGAAATAAAAAATCCCTATTGACTATGGTAGTGGAGTAGCCAGAGGCAATAAATCAATTGCCGATGAAAGGTCAAGAGAATGTAGGGGTCTAAGCCGTGGTTGTGCCTAGATCACTACAGTCATCAGGTCGAAGTCCCCAGGTATAAGGTAAAAGGCAAGAGTCACCGGAAGGAGTGGTTTATTGTAAACAGAACTCCCAGTTGCAGTCTCATGTGGCAGTGGCCACTGGCGAAGCCAGAGCTGGTCCTGACTGCGTCCAGCCAGGCCTGAGAGTGTCGACTGTGTGTTGTGTGGGGTGATGGCAGTTACTTTAGTAGGATTGTGAAGCAAGTTAAAGTGGTGTGTGAGTCGTGCGTTGAAATTACCCGAGGGAATGTAGCCTGCAAGGGCTCCCTGCTGCGTTGGCCAGAGGTGACGCATTAAATGGCTCTTAGGATGGCGCGCTTATAAAGCCGAGGTCACCTGTCAGGTCCGCAGGCACGC